CCAAGCACTGGGTGGAGATGGGACCCACAGGGATAGGTGGGGAAGGATGGGGGAGGGCTGTGGGCGGGGCCGACGAAGGCAGGACCCAGGCCACTCACTGTGGCCAGCAGGTACTGCAGGGTCCCACAGAGCCGCACCGCCCGGCTGAAACGGAGCTCCAGGTACTGCAAGGAGGAGCCGAGGGCTCGTGGTCACCTGGGCAGATCCTACCTCGGGGCTCCAGACCTCTGGGTTCCTTCACCCGCCCCCTTGGCTTCTGCCCTCTCTCCAGAGGACAGCTTGGCTCTCTGCACTCCTGCCCGTGGGAACCTCGACCAAGTGCACACATTCCCATTGTCCGCGCGCACCCGTGCACACCCACCATCCCCATGCCTGTGCCCACAGCATGTGTGTACACGTCCCCCCCCACACACACGCGTGGCCAACAGTTATTAGCCTCGATTTTAATCACTTCACCCACTGCCTACGGGAGGTCCTGTAATCAGCCGGGCTGGACACCTGGGGAATCTGGGCAGAGGCCTGCCCCCTGCCCGAGTGGGAGACAGAGGGGAGTCAGGTTTGGAATTTCCAGCCCGCCGTCGGAGAGCACTCAGGCATCGACATGCCGAGGCATGTGGGGGGCAGGTGTGCACCTGTCCACAGGTGAGTGCAAGCCCGGCCCCACCCCCTGCGGGCTTCCACTGAAGAGAACCAGGACACCGGCTCCTCTTCCTCCTTCCTGCCCCTGGCCTCACTGCCTGGGGCTTCTTCCCAGAACCCTGCCCACCTGGATGCCTAAGGGGTGGGGGCGGGCACGAAAGCACCAAGAAGCCCCTCTGTGTACCCCGGCACCGCGGCCCACAGCCCCAGGGCTCCCCCCACTGCATCCCCGCGTCCCCAGCCAGGCAGGTCCGGCCCCCCGGCCTCGGCCCAGTACCTGGTACGTGCTGGTGAGGCCCAGGCGGTAGAAGACGGGCAGGTAGAAGGCCGCGGTCAGGAGGGAGTTGAGCAGCTGGCCCAGGCACATCCAGAGGAACTTGAGGCCGTAGCGGTAGGCCTCCGCGGGGACGCCCAGCACCTGCACGGCCGACATGAAGCTGGCGGCCAGCGAGAGGCCGACGGGCAGGGCGGACAGGCGCCGGCCCCCCGTGAAGAAGTCCTCCGCGCTGCGCTGTCCGCCCCGCCCCAGCCCCACCCAC